GGGTCTACATTGGATGTCGTAAGTCGAATAATGAACTGTGATTGGTCAATTTCTTCCGACACGACTTACGACATCCAATGTAGACCCAGCTTTACTGACTTTACTGGCGTGCGAAAAACGCAGCACCAGTAATTTTCATTGCTACCAACTATACTGTTTTCACTGGCAGTAACTAAAGCCCGCTGCAGACGATGCTATTTTTCCTGCTGGATTGCTTGCGATTTACTAAATTACTAGGAATCCTGAGTGCTGAATGGTGCAACGATAGTAATTTATTAGATCGCAAGCAATCCAGCAGGAAAAATAGCATCGTCTGCAGCGGGCTTAAAATCCATTTTTGAACACATCCATAGAAGTCGTAAAGTCGTAGTCGATTGGTTAATTCCGTCAGGCACATAATCCGCGCCGAGTCGCGGCTCTAGATGACGCATTGTCAACGGCCTCCACCGAGTCTCCTCTAGATCGAGCGCACCAATGGGCGCGCGGGCATCCTAACCTCCGAGCGGTGCGTAACCGTGAGTTGCACAAATACGAGGTGGACGATGAGTATCTGAGCGGTAACCCGGAGAGCTCTCATCCTCCCGCTGTCGGACACCGTGAGCGAGAGCGGTCGCGTCTAGTGGAACTCGAGATCGGCAGCGGACAGCGCGATGGGCGTGCCGAGCGGCAGGAACGTCGAGGCGATGGACGTGGACGCGAACCCGGCGAGCGCGTCGGACGCGCAGAACGGCGAGGGTGACGGCGCGGGCGAGCGCCGCGACACCGACATGCAGACCGTGTGCGACATCCGCGAGCACACGCGGCAGATCGAGAAGGCGGTGCAGAACAAGGAGCCGCGATTCGTGCTGCGCGCACTGCGCGCTCTGCCCAACACCCGCCGTCGTCTCAACCCGGTCGTGCTACGTGGCCTCGTCACGGGCTTCTACACCAAGTCCGTGGCCGAGCGCGACGCCCTGCTCGCCTGGGTGGAGGAGCCGATGGACGTGGACGACTGCCAGGCGGTCACGCAGAAGTTCCGCAGCTCCTCGTCGTCCCTGCTGCCCGAGATCGACGGCTACATCCACCTGCTGGTGCTGATCCGGCTGATCGACACCGGCAAGTACAACGAGGCGGTGCAGTGTTCGGAGCAGCTCGTCCAGAAAATCGGCGCGCAGAACCGCAGGACCATCGACCTGATCGCCGCCAAGTGCTACTTCTATCACTCGCGCGCGTACGAGCTGACGGATCAGCTGGACAAGATCCGCGGCTTCCTGCATCTCCGTCTGCGCACCGCGACCCTGCGCAATGACTTCGAGGGCCAGGCGGTGCTGATCAATTGCCTGCTGCGCAACTACCTGCACTACAATCTCTACGACCAGGCGGACAAGCTGGTGCTCAAGTCGACCTTCCCCGAGTCGGCCAGCAACAACGAGTGGGCTCGCTTTCTCTATTACCTCGGCAGAATAAAGGCTGCCAGGTTGGAGTACTCGGCAGCGCACAAGTATCTGGTGCAGGCGATGCGCAAGGCGCCGCAGACCACGGCGGTCGGGTTTAGGCAGACGGTGCAGAAGCTGGCGGTCGCCGTGGAGCTTCTCCTCGGCGACATCCCGGAGAGGCAGATATTCCGGCAGGCCGCCCTGCGCCGCGCCCTCGCCCCGTACTTCCAACTCACGCAAGCGGTGCGTCTCGGCAACCTGCAGCGCTTCGGCGAGGTCCTGGAGAACTTCGGGCCGCAGTTCCGCGCGGACCACACGTTCACGCTGATCCTACGGCTGCGGCACAACGTCATCAAGACCGCGATCCGTTCGATCGGCCTCTCCTACTCGCGCATATCGCCGGCCGACATCGCCCGCAAGCTAGGACTCGACTCCAGCGTTGACGCGGAGTTCATCGTCGCCAAGGCGATCCGGGATGGAGTGATCGAGGCGACCCTGGACCCGGAGAACGGCTATATGCGCAGCAAGGAGACCACGGACATCTACTGCACCAAGGAGCCGCTGCTGGCCTTCCATCAGAGAATCACTTTCTGCCTGGACCTGCACAATCAGAGTGTAAAGGCGATGCGCTACCCGCCCAAGTCCTACGGGAAGGACTTGGAGTCCGCGGAGGAGCGCAGGGAGCGGGAGCAACAGGACCTGGAGCTGGCCAAAGAGATGGCCGAGGAGGACGACGACGGTTTCCCTTGAATCCGCGAATCCACCACGTCCGCAGACCACGGGCGAGATCGGAAGAGAGCGTGGCGCCGCGGAGTCACTCCAGAAGACATTTTGCGTGCTTTTCTAACGTTAAATGAATTTGTAGTCACATCTGTGGACCGACGGGGACTAATAAGGGCGTGACGTTTACGAAATACACGCCCGCATTCGTGAACGTTAATGACACTTGAGAGATAAAAAATATAAGTCATGAGTTTGTAACACGAAGCGAAAGCTATGCCTGCAGTCGATTTAACTAAGTAACTTCTCGATATTGTTGTTATTATATCAGAAATCTTACTTCCGACTGATTCTAACAAATTTCTCCTACCGCATAATTAAGAATGTAAGAGCGAAAGTAAAAATATAAGAGCAATTACATATACGTGGATTCTAGATTTTCACTTTTTTCATGTTAAACCCGCTGCAGACGATGCTAGGAATCCTGAGTGGTGCAATGATAGTAATTTACTAAATCGCAAGCAGTCCAGCAGGAAAAATAGCATCGTCTGCAGCGAGCTTTATCCATAGTTCCTCCATTATTTTATATGCATTATAGAATTATAATACACGTCGATAAACTCGGAAAATGTTACGGGAGCGTATAATTTATCTCTCGTCTGAAACGCGTATCGGAAGGCTGGGCAAAAATTTGAAGATTTTTAAAAAATAATCTGAGAGCTTGTACATATTTCGATTGGCCGCTCAACGCCCGCATCAGACTACAGATTGAGATTGGGATTAGAATGGCCGCGTTCAGCAGACACAACTGTTGAGTGAGCGCTCAGTATGATTGGTTAACACTTTTAGATCCTTAATATGATTGGCTGGATCTAAAAGTATTAACCAATCATACTGAGCGCTCACTCAACAGTTGTGTCTGCTGAACGCGGCCATTGAAATTTGACCAATCGCAGTAAAGTTTACTAATCTCAAGTTCAATAACTTTTATTCTAATTGGTCAAATTTCAATCTAATCTCACAAACTCAGTCCGTAGTCTGAGCTGCTTTCGCGAGAAGATCAAAATGATCCGGATTAAAATGACCCTGTGCTATGATTGGTCAAATCTGAAATTTCGTAGCATCACATTGAAATTTTATTCAATGAAATTCCAGATTTGACCAATCATAGCACAGGGTCATTTTAATCCAGACCATTTTGATCTTCTCGCGAAAGCAGCTCTGATACGGGCTTTATAGGGAGTTTAGGGACTCCAGGGGCACTCGGAGAGCGTCGCGAATCTGCGCGAATCGTCTCTGCGCGCGCACGCGAGTCGCCCATCTACGTAGCGCGACTTCGCACCGTCCGTCAGATGAGTTGTCACTGTATTTGCGCTATAAATAATCATTTCCCGTTACATATGTATTGTGTTTAACATTGAGGCAGCGTACGCAGGACGGGCCAGCATCGTCTCACGTGGAACGGAAATGTCATACCTTAGGAATTCCTGAGCGCGTCGGCATCATGGCGGGTGTCGCGGAGGAAATCAAGGAGTCTTTATCCGCGAACAACAAGGGTAACCTTCCCCCGTCCACCGATTCTCGCGGCGATACGTGCGGATTATTTGATACGCGCGACGGACCGTCGTCGAACGCGAAGCTAATTGCGACTGCAGATTGATCGGCGATCGAGTTTCTCTCTCTCTCTCTTTTTTTACGCCCGCCGTTATATTTCAGGATATGCGGCCCCAAGGGCGATATCCTACGAGGAGGTGGCCACGAAGCTTCTCAACGAGAGGCTCCTCCTGACGGCCCTGGAACTACATGCCGAATTGTGCGAAGCTGGCAAAGAGCTGCCGATCCTTCGCGAGTTTTTCTCGAATCCGAACAATTTCGAGAGCTCCAACATCAAGCCAGAGCCGTATACTCCGATGCGTACGTATCTGCAGCCATTAATATGACAGAAGTGACAGATGAGCTCATAGGCGTCTCTTCGCAGAGCGAAAAGTACACAAGTAACGATGTTAAAATAAACTTACAGTTTATGTTAAATCAATGAATGAGAAATCTTGTGGTACAAAGTGTCTGATTAATCAATGTGGAAAATTGCATGACGACCAATGGCTGGCAAATTCTAATTAAAGAAATCCATTGCGACAAGTATTACCTCAGCCAGAGTTTGAACCTGGACCTCCCTACACTTCAGGCGAGCGTCTCACATCTGTGACATCAGTAGTGCTGTTTATTGCGACTGATATTACCATGTGCCTCAGTGGTCGAATTGGTGAGACGCCCGTATTGGAGACGCACAGGCTGAGGTAATACTTTTCGCAATGAATTTCTTTAATTAGAATTTGCCAGCCATGGGTCGTCGTGCGATTTTCTACGTTTGTTAACCAGCCACGGGCGTTAAATAATTCTCTATGTCTAATTAATGTTTACTTGACAGATATAATTATGAGGTAAAGCGTTAAAATTATAAACAAAGATAATTATAGACGAAGCATTAATTATAAATGAAACATTAGCCAGATCTTCTAGTCAGGCCACCTTGGACTCGTTGGACATGACTCGGTATTCAGAGGACGGGGCTGGTGTCGATGAGAGAGTAGCCATTCTCGAGTTTGAGCTGCGCAAAGCCAGAGAAAATATTTCCGCGCTGCGCGCCAATTTAACCGTAGTGACGGGTAAGAATGACTTCTCGCTCGAGTGACGAAACGCAGTTCCGTTGACTGATTTGCAATCGACGACGTATCCAATTAAACTTTTAGAATCGGAAGGTACACTGAAGACGCCAGACAAGAGCTCCGAGAAGAATCCGATTGCCGAACTGCCCATAAAGCCGCACGAGCAGCGTGCGTTGAATTTTCTCATCAACGAATATCTGCTGGCGAGATCGTACAAGCTTACCTCGATCACCTTCAGCGACGAGTGCGAAGATCAGGATTTCGAGGACTGGCAGGATGTGGGGTTGAACATTCCTAAACCCACGGAATTGTGGCAGATATACCGGGAGCATACGAGAGCCAATGGATACGACAAGCCTCCATCCACGAGCGTTGCCGTGCAGACGGACGACTTTGTCGTCGAGGATGTTGAGGAGCAGAAAAATGAATCTCAGGAAACGGTTTGTTGACGTAGCTTCTAGAGCCTTAAACCCTTCGAATTCTTGATCGTTAGAAATCTGTGAATTCCAAGAATTCCGTATCCTTTGTAGGCGGAACAGATTGAGAGGTTGCAGCAGCAGATTACAGTGCTGGAGCAGGAGAAAACCGCTCTCCAGGAAGTTATTTCGTCGCACAAGGAGAGCGTTGTGGAAAACCCAGTAAAGGTGAGCTAAATTAATTAGCATTTTCTTCCGCTTATAATTAAAGATTTATCCAGAGTCAAATCATACAATTAATGTAAGTTGATAATTATGGAACATTATATAAAGAATCACTGTTTTAACTACAGTCGGGTAGCTGCGGAACTATTCGTACCATCAATTCCAACTCTACAACTCCCGACAAGTTTGAGCTACTGGAGCCGTTACCCAGGGACATGTCGACTACTACTCAGGAACCGGAGGAAGACGACAGCGCTTCCGCGGTGGTTAGCCTGGACGAAACGGATCCAGGAGACAAGGAATGGACCAGACTGCAGTTACCGAGAGTAAATATTACAGAGAAATCCTCTGTTCTACCATCCGCATCCTCCAGGTTATTTGTACTATTATATACATTTAATTTGTAATTTTATTTAAGCAACGTTGGATAAACTTGGAAAAATGATGTAAAATTAGCGCGAACATTTTTCCAAGTTACAAAGTAGCTGAGTAATTTAAATGATTGTTCAAGGATATGAAGACTTTTAAGAATCCTGTGATGCCTTAATTACATATTTGTGAACGTTGCAGAGACTTGCCGGCTAAATTCAAGGCGGAAATAGCGGCGCACTGCATGGCGAGCGTTGCAGGATCGTTGATGTCCTCGGTGGAAGAATCGTTGAAGCACGGAATCACCCGGGATACATTAGTTGATATTTTAGCGTACACTTTGCCGCGTGTAGTACCCAACATCATCCTCAACAGGCGCGAAGAAATCATTCCTCTGATCCTTAGTGCAATCCATCTTCATTCCAATTCCAGCGAGAGAGAGAAGTTGCTGCAGCTGCTGTTCAACTTAAAGAAGAGACCGCAAGAGGACGAGCGGCAAATGATATTGGCTGGTTAGTCAAAAAAGTACATTTCAATGATTTGGATTGACAAATTTAAATATTACGAGGTTTATTCTTTTCGGGAAAAAAATTGTGCTTGTTGCTATCCATGCACGTCACAATGTATAGAACACGTTTTTTTTATAATTAAAAATGCATTTTTTTTATCAGGTTTAGTTGTGATGGTGAAGCTCGCCGAAGAGTCGTTGGAAACGGAAGAGATTCTAACAATTTGTTGGGAGCAGAGTCAGCACAAGTATCCAGAGAGAAGATTATTAGCTGTTGAATGTTGCTCCGTATTGGCATCCTACACATCAGCTGCTGTCAGAAATTCACTGATGTTGTCAATGTTGCAGCAAATGTTGTTGGAGGACAAGGATCCTATTGTACGAACTAGCGTAGTGAGAAGCCTCGCGTTACTCATAGCTTTGATGGACGATCCTGACAAATACTTCCAGGTAAATGTCTTATTATTTTACATATTTTTTAAACCTTCCTGTTATTCTTTCCCTGGTCATTTTTATAAACTTATACTTTTTATACACATTGATACATTGTTATGTATATAAATTGCAGTGCGAGGAACTGGTATTAACAGCACTCCATGACACATCGTCGATGGTTGTTGAAACGGCAGCGTCGGTATTGTTACCGGTTTTGGCACAATGGGCGTTATCCCTGAGGAGATTGCATCTAAACCTGCTGCCGCGTATAATCTCGAAAGTGAAGAATCAACTGAGGCCGGCGCACTCTCAGACCTTGCCGAACAAAGACTACGTCGACGAGGAGAAATTGACGCCATCGATCAGTATTCTGCAGTGCATCTTGCCTTACACGGTCTTGTGTGTCGCCAATGCTGATGCGGTACGAGCTTGCATCGAGGATGATACCTCGCCAGACTTGTGTGAGTTATTAGAGGAAGTAAATGACAAGTTTCAGAGAGTACATTTGAGTACTTACAGGATAAAATAAATAATGGTCGAATAAAAGAAAAGTAAAACTTACATTTAAAGATTTAAAAACTTAGAAATTGGAAAAGTTGGAAAATTACATTAATTTTGATATAAAACTTAAAAATAAATTCAATGATTTGAAAGGCGAAAAGTTTAGAAAATGCGAAGAATTTAGGGTCTACTTGGAGATGTGAATAAAGTATATTGAAATTGAAAGTCAAGTATTTAAAGATTTTAAAATGATAGAAAATGGAGTGGTAGAGATTCCACAATTTGAAAATCCAAAAGATTGTGCTATCGGAAATCTTTTAGTAGATTTTGTACAAAGCTCATAAGCTCGCACAAAAACGAAAGCACAAAAGTTTTCTAGAAACTTTGTGGTGCAGCCGAGGAATTTCTGGCGTTGTGTCACTCCAATATCACCGACCCGAGGATATTCTACGAGGATTCCGTCGACGTCAGTGTCCTTCTCAACACTTTCTTCTCCAAATCTTGGGAGGATGCATCCTGGCCGGAATTAGAGTGGTTTACGAAAAAATTGTGAGTGTCATTATTTCATTATTGAAATAATCATATTAAAGTTTTACATAATAATATTTAAAAAGTACTATTGTAATAAAATAATAGCATTAGAAATAGAGATTACTTCATAAATATTTATTTTTGATATTGTTTAATTATATTATTTATTGTGAACATTCCTAGGACAAGTTATAATAAACTAAAGCTTCCAATAGAAATTTCCAAAACTTTGCTTGTTTTTATCTCAAGATATTAATTTCAGAATTGTTTTTCTCTTGCAGAGTATTTGATGTCCTGGACATGGTTAAGTCTGTGGATGCAGCTCAGGAAAATGTTCTAAAAACGCTTCTTACATACATTTATTCGTTGTGTGTAGGCTTTGGGAAATATATCACACAATCGAGGGTAAATACAAGATTCTATGTACAGATAGAAGTGCCACTTAAGATGTTTAATAACTTTAGTGACTCAGTTATCAAATTTTGTTATTTTTCAACTCTTGAGATCATTTTCTTAGGATTAAATAGAAATCTTCCCGTTCGTGAATTACTATAATTAAATAGGAACCTTTCCATTCTTGAATTTCATTTAAAATTCCCAAGTTTCTTGAAATATTACTTGAAATATTAGCAGCACTTACTTTATGAATAATATTATTTCAGATACAGACAGTATTTTCCACGGAAGTATCAGAACTTGAGAAACAATTGACGGCACTATCGGCAGACAAGAAAACCATGAGCCTTCCTTTGATTCCGAGTTACTTAGTGATTCTAAGTACTCTCAACTCTACGGAGCTCGCAAACTACTTCAAACAATTCCTCATAGTTTTATCGATGAGCGGCACTAGTATATCGTGGTTGCAAATCGCTGCCAGTATCTTATGCGGTCGTGAACAAACGCAAGAATATGTTCTTGCTAGTTTATGGGATGGTGCGTGTCACGTCTCTTTTTTTCATATTATTATTATTAATAGTTTGTGGAAGAAATAATCTTAGTCATATAATAAATAAAGGTGACATAAGAAATCTAGAAAAATATTATTTCTTGTTTAAACTACAATTGTTTTACGAAAAAGAATTTCTTGAATTAAAAATATATTTTTAAATTCTAACAAATGAACTTGAAGTTTCTTCCTCTTTACAGGTGTAATGCATCAGAGATCCTCTGTAAGATGTGCAACAGCAACACTATTCGGTTCCATTATCGCACACATCTCGGATCGACTAGCGAACGCCAAGATCGTACCAGCCATCGTAACGCTCGCCAGCGATCCTGAAGTGTGAGAGACTTATTTCCACTTATGCATACATGTATCTGAAATTCATGAGTCCTTAACGTCACCAGTTTCTTTATAAAACCTTGATTGCTTCAAATGTCTGTATAACTTAAGCTATAAACTTCCGTCTATCTGCCTAACAATGTAGATTTCAAGGTCTCATAAACGCATGCGACTCGTGTAAAATTATTTTAAAACATATATGAACATATATGTATAAATATGATGGGAAATAGCTTTTGGATGATATCGATATATTTCATCTTACATTGTGCAATAATCGAATTAACATCCTTAGTGGCGTGCGTTGCGCTGCAATTGCCACCCTAGGCCGTATAATAACAGAATGCAAGGTGAGGGAAGCACGTGACAAAGCACGTCTAACGTTGGAAACGATCGCGAAGGATCCTCTGGAACTCTCTCCAATTTTGGCAACGTCGCTGGTATCCACGTTCGCGGTCGTCGCTCCCACCTGTCCACAGAATTACATAGAAGACAGTACGTTATCCTTATGTATATTCTTTATGCAACTCGAAAGCTAAACTCTTGAACAAAAAAAAAACGGAATGCAAACTCTCGATCTCAGCTTGAATGGGAAATTTTCTTTTATATCTGTGCATAATTATGTATTGCCATACTAAATTAGTGTTAATTGCAGTAATAGCGACGCACTTATCGATGATTGCCTCGTTCGCGCTTCAACAGAGCCGTAAGATCGAATTAGTAAGCGCCCTGGTGGAGGCATACTCCGTGCTGGTTTACTGTCCGTTGAGTAGTCAATGCGTCTCCGGAGTAGTGTTACCGGGACTGAGGCATCTCGAGACGCTGGTAAACCAATGTCTACCTCAGCAAAAAGATGCAGTACGCTCTTTGCTCAGAGAAGCAGAGTCCAGGCAGGACTTATCGAAGCCAATAGATAGGTATTGAATAGAAAATAATTATGCGTAAATGTCTGATCGTGTCTGCAATAAACGTTGAATTAATACTATGAAACGTACGATAACGGATGAAGAAATATAAGAAATGTAGATTTTATTACTCACAATATATCATTGCAACGATCCATAGATTTGACGGATTTCTGAATTTCGATATCTTTGGACAGTTAAATTTTCTAGAAACACGTATCCTGTACAGGTTTTCTCGATAACGAAAAATGTTTGAACGCTCGTAAAAAAAAAGTTATCCTCGATCTAGGACACTCTCGACGAGTTCCGGGCTTTCCCTGTCGATGGCGTCGGTGAATGTCGGCCAAGGTGTCGAGGATATGCGCCAGAGAATGAGCAAGATCTTTCAACAGAAAACCGGATCGCCCGGCATGCCGAGTATCTTTCGCAAGAAGTAAACCTCCCCCTCGTCTCATAGCAAGAAATTGTGAGATAATCGAGCGTCGTCGGCAAAAGAGTCGCGATCATAAAAGGTTGTTGTTAGACATAAATGTAAAATATTGTTTTAACACAAATGTTAACTTATTTTTTTATCGCGCTAGCTCTGTAAGTGACGTGTAAATTATTTTGTTTAAATATTAACACGATCTGAGGAGTTCAGAGGTGAGGAAGTACAAATGTTTCCCCCCCACATCTCGTGAAACTCCGGATGCTCTTTTTCCACTCGATCCCTCCCCCCCCTCCCCCATGCAAGGAAAGTAGACAAGAGAGTAGGTTCACAACGCCGCGATTAACAGTAATTAATGTTTAATTTCGAAATCTGTCACTTTACATAGTAATAAACAAACGTCATAGATCATATCATATATCATATCATATATATCGCATATCATATATATATAATACACAAGTGTTTTCCTCGTAGAGTAGTTTACAAAATCAGACTTTCTAGGAATACACATCCTGTTGCGTCCTGCCCTTGCTCGGTTCTGTTTCCGTCGGTTTTTTTTCCTTTCTTTTTTTTTATAATCACAGCTTATCCTGATGCGTCAACGAAACGTTGCTATTGTATTTTCATTTTCCTTTTCCGTTTGATAATTAATCGACACAATCGTCAGAGAGAGTTTCGCCGCGACGCGCTCAGCCTCGCTGGACAATTACGAGACCGAGGTACGTTTCATTATCACTCTCACGCGGTGCAATGTTTAGTTTAGTTTTTTCGAAGAACCCCACATTATTACGGCGACACACCAATTTTCGCAGAATTTTTCGAGGATCACCTAAAAAAGATCTCCGGTCTCGGCAGACCAGACGGCGACCTGGGAGGATCTGAAAGCTCGGTCTACTAGGACTAAAACTCGTAATTCAGCGTGGATCTATAGAAATCACATAAATAGCACACAATTAGCCGTAATGCGCTTAAATTAATGGGCAAAGTACTTTCGCAATATCTTACTTAATTTTCTCTCTTTCTCTCGTTCCTTTATTCTAACTCGTTTAAGATTCAAGAAACGCTGTCAATCATACGGGCTAATTTTCCTTTTCGCACCATTTCTATCTCTCTCTTTCTCTCTCGCGACTAATATCCGCAGCATCGTTAGGTCTCTCGGTTCAATTTAGCCAATTACACCGCGCTTTTTGCCACCACGTGCACGTAATAACAATATCGGAAAGCGACAAACGAGACGCGTGTACGTGAATGTAGAGGAGAAAAAGAGTAAACGGAAAAGAAATGAGAACCAAAGAACCCGTGTTAATCCAAGAAAAGGAAATCGAAACAAGGTCGTTTAACAGATCGTCGCTCGCGTGTACGTGTGTACGTGTGTGAGTGTGTGTATATGTGTGACAAGGCGCGCGATTACGCGAATCGCTTATTATTTTTTTCTCTTCTCTTTCCCTCCTTCCGTCCTTACGAGTTCGCGTATACGAGAGTCAGCGACGCAAATCGCAACATAGGATCGTGAAACGCACATCGCGACATTATATTACGCACACATACATCAAACGTATGTATAATAATTAATGCTTAGCCTATCCCGTGTGTGTATGTGTGTGTATAGTAGTATACATATGCGTATATAATATATATACATTGAATATATTTTACTATATCGTTGGAGAGTGGCGGCGAAGCAAACCGCATTCCCGGAGAGAACCGCGCGCGGTTCGTCAAAAAAAAATATATATGTATATATATATATATATATAATTTGTATATCGCCTCTCGTATATTATATCCTTAATGAAACGCGTCTCAGGACTCGCCCGGAGCGCAACGTGTGCGAATTAACGAAACGATCCGCACCGCCCGAAAAATCCGGCGCGTCCGGGCTCATCGACGATCGACGATCGATCACTTTTCTCCCTGGCACCCCACCCGGGCGCGTCCGCTCGCTTCTTTCGGACGCCTCGCGGATGCAGGAAACTGAGAGAGATATATATATACATGTATACACACCTCTTTCACTCTTTCTCACACACACACACACACACACACACACACACACACACACGCATACACTCACTCACTCTCTCTCTCTCTTTCTCGCGAAGATACGCAGCGGACGATGTTAAATGATCTCCAGAGAATCGCCCGGCGAAAGATCATCCCTTGGCATTTCCCGGTTATCGGGCGACCTCGGGGAAATCCCGAGCGAATAAATCGGCCGAATGGGGAATTTCGTAACTTTTCGAGTTTATTCTGCTCTTTCATCTTTTAACTTATCAGTCGTGTTTTAAATTAATTATCTTGGACGTTGCACTGGGGCCCCCTCGACGAGATCCCGTTGAACCGTCTTTAGAATTTGGAGTGTTTTGCTGGTCGGTCGCAGTACCACGACAGCATAATTGTCGTTATTATCCGATTATATCGACGTGTCTTTCATTACGATTGGATCTCAGAAATCCCAGCGCTTAGTCATAGTCCGATTTTTTATAATCTCAAGTGGAATTTCAAGTGGTACGAAAGTACACGAATTAATCTGGGAATTTTAAGCGTAAAACAATATCATACATCTTATATCTATATATCTTTTTTTTTTAGTACGCACTATCGACTTCGATAGTCCCGCGAAAGATCGCAAGACTCCAGGGGAATGTCTCGCCAGCACGATATACGATCCTCTGAGAGTCGACAGTTTTTGTCCGACATATCGTTTATTTGATTTATTCAACTCAATATTAACAGAAACAGCTGACAATCCTATTTCGAAAACGCCCTGTGTTGTATGTGTGTATAAATGAAGAAACGGCAGCATATCGTAAGTTCAAAGTATAGCAGTATGTACGTCGACACGTCATCCTGTTGCATTCTATTCGCAGGAGATCGATTTTTTTCGCCCTTTTTTCGTTGCGCTTTGTCAATTCAAACCCGCATACATGTTCATCAACAAATACATATATAATATATATATTTGTTAACAATGTCTTTTCTCTCTCTCTCGCTCGCATCCTTTTTTTCATTTTTTTCACTATAGCGTGTTCTGTTTTGTGTGTGTGTGTGTGTGTGTGTGTTATGTGTGTAGGTACATATGCATCATCGTAACACCTAAAGCCAAAAGCTCCTGCTTATAATAATAATAAAATAATGATGATAATAATATAATAGAGCAATCAATAGTACTAATTAATATTAATAGTGGTAATAGATAATCAATAATATACAACATACTTTGAGGCACTTAAATGCGTGCTCAATTAGTCGTCCCGATTCTCGCAACACTAGCTACTCCGAATTAGCATGTTCTCTCGCGCGCATATTTTTCATTCTCTCCCACTCTGTCTCTCCCTTCCTTTCTCTCTTGGCCGAATAAAAACGTGACTCTAAGATTCCTAAACGTCTCGGTGCACCTCGTGGTCAGAGGGTTTAATACAAGAAATACTCTAACAGAAGAAGAAAAACAAATCTGATCGCGTAGCAGCAAAGAGTACAATGGGCGGTTAGTCGAGTTTCACGCAAATCGGAAGTGGCCGTTCCCGGTAATCCCTGAAATCGACGATGACCACCGTGATGAACGATGCCCGCTCGCAGTGCATCGCTCGCGAGCATCAACTGTGGCAAACAAGACGGAAGAGTAAACGGAATCACAATTGGACGATGGGATTGAAAAGCTAGAGAAAATGTAGGAGTGGAGTCGCGACGAGGGCTCGGAGAGCGAGGATTGGAACATCGACCCATCGCACGTAACAACGCAGTGGTCCAAGGAACTGCCGGTGAACCATGGTACAGCCTTAGATTTGCGCTTGATCCGTCGAGATGGGTGGAAAATTGGGCACGGATTCGGTGATCAAGAGAAAGAGAGAGGGAGAGGGGAGGGAGAGAAAGGGGGGGTGAAAAGTAAAACTGAGAGAAGAGAACGGAACACTGTCTTGAACCAACACGCGGGTCCGAAAAATCTTTTGAGGAAAATGGATTTTTCAGAGGAAGTTTTTACAGAGATTCGCGTTATTCAGAAATAGGCGAGAAAAGCGAGACGAAAACCATGGTGATGATGGTAGTGATGGAACAAGGATGGACTTGAGACGGGATCCATGACGAGGCTTCGGAGACAGATCCTCGGGGAGATCCAAAAAATCCTGGAGTTAGAGGACTTGAAATGCGGGATTCGAGTAGCGGGAGTGAATTTAAATCCACTTTAAACGTCGCCGCGCTTAAAATGGATCTGAACAAATTGAGGAACAATCGAGGCGGGAGAAATTCGCATACGTGTGCATAAAAAAAATATCTGACGCAAACTGATGCGGTTCCGTTAAGGTGGAGCGCGTGTGCGCTAAATTCCATGCCCGCTTCGTTACGTGTCTCGAGAGAAACCCCCCCCTCAAGCACATTATAATACGCATTCTCTGAGAAATTAATAGATCTTTTTCTGTCGCTTACGTTTGGCGTATCGCGATACGCAACACGGTGTTGCGCACCATTGCCAGCACTAATTAAGATGCTAATCAAGTATCAGGTGTCGTAATTACATTGTAAAACGCAAGCTATTCGTTACGAGACACACGCTAGCAACATCCTCCACGATTATTCCTCAATTGTGAGCTCTTCGTCCTTGTGTTAACTTTACAGATCCGGTATCACCGCCGATTTTCTCCGCAATAAAGCTTCTCGCACGCTTCAACCGCATAAAAATACGAATTCATACGTTTCTCAATCGTCCTCCTCCCTCACCTCCTCCTCATTGTCGTCATCATTCGCCATCAGTAACGCCCTTAAATCACGCATAATCTCGTACACATCACCTTCCTCTTTTTACAAAATACAATCTCTTCGTTCTCCTCTTATTATTTTCAACTTTTTTTTGCGTAAAAGATGAGGAACGTGGAAGAGAGCGGAATTTTTTTTGGGGGGGGGGGGAGATTCCACACCGCTTTCCACTTGGCGAGAATCTCTGTTGATTTCGGCGTCCACTTCGTTGCACGTTTCGGGAGATTTCGTCAAGCAATGTTCTTTTTTTGGCACAAATATATATATAATTATATATCTAATAGATACACACACTTTCGCGCACACACACGCACACACACACACGCACGTACACGTGTTTTTTTTTCCCGATTATATTATTACGGCCCTGCACGCGCGAAGGAGGGGCGGGGGAAGGGGTTTTTTCCCTTTAAAAGAGTAATATAATCTTACCTCTTTAACGCGATCTTTTTTACAAGCTAACAAATATGTACCTCAATCACAGAACCAAAAAACGATATATAACAATACTCTTCTCTTGCGCGATGTACCGGGTGATCGGGAAGCCGCGTAGCCATACGCTTGGTGCTGTCGAGAAATACCGCTTAAAAAAGAAAACAGAAAAAAATACCGTCCGTAACACACTTCCGCGTTTATTCGAAGCACAACTTTAGACAATCATTTATATCTCGTAACTCGTAATTTTTAGATTCGTAAATTCTTTAGATCTATATATATATATATAAATATATAAACATATATATTTATATATTTGTTATTAATTAAGAATCCTTACCAATTACTAACGAAGTCTTAAAACTAAAGCTTATCAAACATTATTAGGTACACTCAAAACTGTTACATCGTCTATAATGAAACTCATAGGAGTAAAGACCGGTAATAAAAGCTCGAAGAGCGACTCGTGCAACAGAAAAAAACTCTAAAAAGTACGAAATCTGTAATTTCGAGAGCGTATAACATTTGAGAAATCAAAATTCCATCGAGCGAATTATTTCATTCGATGCAAGTTTCGATTTTTATTACATTTACACAAGAGTGAAATCTCAGATTTCCACCTCCTTTACATTTTTTGATACCCAGTCGCTCTTCTTGTCGATCTCTGCCAGCCTAATAATAATTCTCATTGGCGAGCCGGTAACCGAGCGCCGTCAGCTTCGCGTTTCCGGGCCTCCGCTGCCGAGCCGGCCGTTCTTTCCGTTCGCTTAACGCGTGCATTTAGATCATTAGGTTCTTAAATCCTATAACAAATTTTTAGATTTTTTTTTAAGACCTTAAATCCTTCAAACATCCTCCAATCACGAATAAACTACAATCGAATCATTGCGTTTCGCAAATTGCAATAAAGCGAATAAAACAAATGTGCCGATTATACATGGGTAAATATATCGGCGAAACTATCAACATCATCAAACCACGGCGACAAAACTTGCCCCGCGGGACTCTCCGATCACCCTGTATAATAGTAGCGCCTGCGAATGCGCCGCTATAATAGTGCGCGGCGAGTCTTACACATTTTCACACGCACACTATCACTCACTCATTCATTCTCTCTCTCTTGATCGATTCGTCGATCGACCGATCGTTGATCGTAGGCGAGACGTCACTGTACAATGTAAAAAGTTCTCTCTTCCTCACGCCTGCAGCACGTGACGGCGTCGGTCTGAGAAGGGAGTACCGGGGGGGAGAGGGGGTAGATAGGTAGGTGAAAGCAGCGGCGAGCTCCGATATCCTGATTCTCGATCCGATCCGATCCGACCCCGAGAAGATGGCGATGACGTCATAGCACATATAGCACAGCTAATTATCGTTTAATTACCCCGTTGACGCGTGGTAATCTGTAGATTTTGGCTTCTTGCTTCGTTATATCTAAGCTGCTTCCGCCGCTCGAGGTGTCTTCCTTCATCGTCGTCACCTTTACGGCACATAAAGGAACAGAATGTACACCCTTGCGGACGTTTCTCTTTTCATTTTGTTATGGAGAACCGACGCTTCCGGTCGATTGTCTCACGTCGAGGAAACCAGTTCGTTGATTTCGCGAATTTGGGAAAGTATCTTTATCGTGCTTGTAACCGTTCTTTCATATAACTTTGGAACTAATTGCAAATATTTTCAATTTTTTCAGCATACCGATTTGTTGTATCAATATGGATTGACTTTAATCTAGGCTCAACTTACACTTAATCCTTTTCTAATTGTTAGAACTGGAGAACATTAATAGAAATGGATACGAGATCGCCTCGAGGGATTCTTAGTAGAAACTAACATTTACGAAATTGTTCGCAAAATCAAATCAACTTGTTTCTCTCCGCGTGTATAGCTTCTTCAAAGGAGATTTTTATGGAGACTGAGGAAAAAGGATACTCACGTGCAGCTCTTAGACGTTTCTATCCCTCTCATCTGTTTTGTGTTTTGTACAAGGTAGCTCGCGGCAATGTTGCGCTACTTGGGCATAGCTTGGCCTCGTAAGATCCTGCAGAGAACACAAGATATTTATTAGCTCGCGGTATTCAAGAGTATTCATTGCTCTGCAGAGCATAAAAATCGCCATAAATACAACGCAACGGTTCTGGATGAAATCTCATTTGAAAGATCTAAAATACATAAATCTAATTTTATAAACATCATCCTCGAACACATCTGAAGATGTTAAGATTATCATTTGCACTTTTAGAATCTTCCGCTATTTGCGTAGTTAAAATCTTACCAAAATCATAGCTTATCTATACATTTCTAGACGATATTTTAGATCTTTAATCTTGAAATCTCAATTCTGGATTCTCAGTGTTAATTATTTTGTACGTCCCGGAGCCCTCGCTTCCTCAACTTGAATCAGAGAACTTTTATCCTCTCCGTATCTTCTGGCACATTTATATTCTGCGCACAAGTTTCCTTCAGGGATCCTCGAGAGTCCGAGGCGTACTTTCAACAAATTAAGCTCCTTCGAGAGAGATAGCCAGGATGATACTTACTATAGGGAAGGCAGAGGCCACTCCAGTTTGCGATTGGGAGTTCTGTGAAGAGGCAGTAGGAGGTGGGACGACGACGACGACGTTGTTGCAGTCACACCTGGTCATCGTCTCAGCGTCGTCCGTGGTCGCTGCGGCCGACGTCGCCGTCGTTGCCGTTGTCGTCGTCGTGGCCGTCGTCACCGTCGACGTGGCCAGTGCCGGCAGGTGCGTGTTCGCAACTACAGCGTCGTCCACACCGTTCACCATGTTCGAGTCGTCAGTCTTTATAGATCTGTCAGCGGTGCATTGTCAGTAGTAAGGGACTAACACACATGCTTACTTATGGTTGCTTTCCTTTTAGGAGACACAAATCGACGCGTGTTGACACACTCGAGCACAGTTTGCCGCTGTGAAATGGCGAAGGTTTTGAGAAAAGGTTTTGAGAAAAGGTTCTGTCGAAAACAAAAAAAAGACTATCGAGATACTCGAGGCGGATGCTCCAGTTCTTCGGTCAAAAACACACTCCGACTCTCCTCCCGAGCAGAGTCGAGAAGTGTCGGTTGAGTTTGAATTAAATTCCAAGTGGAAAGCGACACGCGTCGATTTGTGTAAAAAAAATGTCGCGACTGTGTTCTCTAAAAGGAAAGCAGCCTACAGCTGCCCTGAGACTCCGCACGGAGAGAATTTTCTCTTAAAATTTACCCAGAAAATTATGTAATCGTAGGCCAACCCTGGCACTTTCAACAACTTTATGAGAGCATTTGAAATTTTTCCACACATTCTATTAGTAATGCGTATGGTAAAATTTCGAAGAACTCGTGTCCAACGATTACACGATTTTCAGGATAAATTTTAAAAGAACATTCTCCCCGTCTGGTATCCGCGGAGGTGGCCCCGTGCGGATTCCTTGGACTCTCTCAGGTAGACATTCCCACTATTTTCCCGTCATTCTCGAATATTTAGAGACCTTCGGGAACGTGTCCAATTGAGAACTCAGGTATCCGAGGTATCCTTAACGCGAGGCTTTCAGATTTTTATATCCTCCAACCCTCGGACACACGCCGGGACAGTTGCAACACGTCCTCGCGCGTCGCGGAAGCGTAAATTGTTACGAAACTTATTACGGGCGTTCGAACTTACGAGTGCGAGTCTGAAACAGCAGCTCGAGATCAGAAATCGGAATCAACGCTCATTGCGATCTACTGAAGTGCTGTAACGTGAACTCTCTCTATTACGTGCGCCATCATCGTGTGCTAAACGCACGGTAGTAACTGTTAATCTCGCACCGCACGTCAGCTTCGTTCATGCACAATGAGAAAATCATGTTCGTGTGGGCGATTCTCGAGCCAACGATTCGGGAAGGCTCCCAAAGAATTTCGAAAGGTGCGGGGGTTCTCGATTGCCCAGGCGAGGGAGGCGAAAGTTAAAATTTGCAATCGGCTCAAGGGGAGCTTAATTGTCCGCATAAATCCCAAAGTGGAAAATTCTCATAGCCACGCGAAGGAATCTGTACGAAACGTTGTTTAAAGAAAAGGAAAAAAAAAACAGGTGGATAACAGGCGCGGAAAGGCGCGTCGAAAGTTCACCTCGTGAGAACCGCCCGCGACGATCCAGGGATATGCAAGAGAGAAGGATTTTTCGCAGTGTCGCAAGACATCGATTAACAAACATCAGTATACACATTGTTTATTAACTTCTAGTTCATCGCTGACAATGCAACTATAGTCACCAAAGGTCCATCAGATACCATGCTGAGGCCGCGTGTGTTCTCGTTTCCTCCGTTTTATATTTTATTTTACAGTCACGTAACGAGAATTATAACTTAACTAGTAAACGTTAGAATTATATAGGCTAGAGAAACCTCATCATTGAAAATGCCTTTACGAGTAACTCGAAACCAAACGGATAATAATTAATAATAATAATAATAGCTCTTAATCATATTAAAAATTTATAATAATAATGACAATATGTAGCAGTAGCGTATTAATCAAATAATAATCGTAATATATTAGAGAACCCTGAAAAATAATATTGTTTATCGTGCATCCCTATTCGACGTTTTATTTGTTTGTCTGCCGCAAAACAGTACAGGCAAGAGGAGAATAATCTCACACCACAATAATACCGCATACATTCCCGCACACACATGTAGCGTTTCATAAGTGCGCCAGCAATGGCTGTTTAATGCTGATTTCAATCGGCGGTATGCGGAGTGGCCGCGCTCGTGTGCCGAAAGGGACAGTTCTTCAGGTCCCTCGATCATTGAACACTCGGATCCCTCGGCGGGTCCTTCGATTAGATACTCTCTTGCTTTAGGCAATTCCGGGATCCTCAAGTCCCTGAGCATTTTTGGCCTCCCGTGAAAATCCCTCGAGCCACGTCTTCGCGGTGGACTCCGAGGGTGTCTTGAGAAAATTCGCGATCAGCTTTGCGAACGCGTTAATAAAGAACCGAGGACAGAAGTTGTCTGAACAATGACGTCCAGGCCATCGGGCGTACATTCAAACGCCGGATGAGCTCGAAGAACACGGAAGTCTGAATGTCTGATAACTGGAAACGTGACATCTTAGGTCTTGGGATCGGGCACCCGGACGAGACCTAAGAGCCTGTCCGGAATAGGTCGGAGGTATCGAGTGATTCAATGATCCAGGGATGAAAGAACCTGTGCATTCAAGAACTAAGAATCTAGGAGAATCCACGGTACCGCGAACTTAAACCCTTATCTATATACCGGATTTATAGAGCATGCTTATAGAGTCCTTACAAAAAAAAGGATATTTACTTATACAAGCAAAAAAAACAGAAAGTTTCTAGAACTTCAAAAATTAGAAAGGCACGATAAGAACGGCGAAATTATTGATAAGACATGGCAAATCATCATAGATGCGAGTACATCTAATTAATTTATTCATTAAAGTAAAAGACAACGGGCGAGAGTCTCTCGCCCAGCCGAAGACCTAACAACTTAAAGATTCAAGGACACCGTTTTTCCTGTTTTCAGGATTCAAAGAGACTTGACGAAACCAGCTTCAGAATTCTCGCTGAAGAACGACCGGAATGGATTGCACTCGGCAACCCAGAACATCTATGCGCAACTCCACGAATCTTGAGTCAGCTCTTAGATCCCTCTCGTGTAAATTTTCCACGGTAAAACATACGCGTTGGGGGAAGAAAAAAAAACCAGTGGCGAGAATGCAGGCGGATACAGACCACTGCGGTAACTCGAACGACACTTAGCAATTAGTAAACGTTCTTTTGCTCTCGGGATTAGCTATGGCGATGCGAAAGAAAGCCTTCAACCTCTGTGCATCTTTTCAATGAAGAAAAAGAAGAGATCCCCCTCCTCGCAGGTAACAAGTACGACGGCGTGCGATCGGCGTCGCGCCCGACGAGACGTCGGGACGGGAAGGGTCGGCCCGGAGGAAAAAGCACGTGTCCGTCATTTCATCAAAACAACATAGCGCATAATGCAGCCAACAACAACACAACAACAACAATGAAACACAACTCGGTATTCCTGAGGGCGTACATCACGGTACACCCTATTACCCTGGTCCTACATAAAGCTCGTATGTCGTGGCGCCGTATCCTCGAATCCTTGGACTTTCGCCGTCGTCGAGTCGACGAGTCCTCACGAGCGAAGCCGAAGATCTCCGGGAAAGTATTGGATCCTTGGATCCAAAGATATACGACGCGCGATCGCGAGAAGAATCCAAGGGAAAGGATCCAACATGGAACTCGGAGGACCCCGAGGATTCAACGATACAACGGTCCACCGCGATCCAAGGACATAAAAATCCGGCCACGCAGGTGTCCAGGAACCCGTTTACAGAGACCAGCTGAATCCCTCGTTCGAACGGAATCTACTGTATGACCCCGATTCGCGTTTGCTTTCTATGCGTCAAGTATAATTAGTGATCAGTGTTTAGGTACAAACATAAATTATTTAAGACTCTGTACACGTATCCTTCTCGCGAGAAATGCAAAGTGGTAAAACCGTCGTAGCCGTTTACAGGATTAAAACAAAGGGGGAAAAAAGCAAACGAGAAGTCAACGTCCTTTCGGTTGCGTGAGCGAAAAAAATTGCTCCTTCGCTCAAACAAAATGTTAGACTCAACTTTGTGGGCGATCAAGGTCTCGCGCGACGTTCCTCTATCATTTTATATTATAAAGATTTTAAACTACGCGATTTTTATAACAGTATAAATTGAATGAGCGCGCTTATACGTAAAAAAATCGAAGCAGCAAACGTAATTTTTCAAACACAAGGATTCGACAGTACGGCAATACGGTTCGCCGGTGTTCAGTGCGAAACCTCGTTAATGCACGTAAATATTTTTCAAGGAAAAATCATTACAAACGAGAAATAAAGAAATCGGTTTAAAAGGAGACAAAACTAAAATGAATTAATAAAATTAGAATAAAACGATCCTATAAGAGGTTAACGATTCAAGGACCAAAAAAAAAATATATATATATCTCTCTCTCTCCCTCTCTCTCATTTTGCGCAGTAAGCGCGCATATACATCTATGTACATGTATGCATGTGTATTGGGAGAGCAGAAAGTTTCGTCGTACTTTGGAACAAGGCGGCCGTTTGTCGCTTTCATAACCGAGAGCTAAATAACGATTTTGCTTTAAAAAAAATATATATATATCCGAATTCTAACGGAGTTTCTTGATTTTTCCATACGTAATGAAAGAGGATGCAACATCGTTGGAGAATCTAAAGAGAGAAAAAAAAAGAAACAGTTCGTACGACCGAAGAATTTTTCCACACTCCAACTGCGCATTGCGTCGTCGAATAAAGGCGTGTTAAAGATCCGTTGGAGGATCTGTTATTTTTTTTTTCTTTCGTAAAAATTGTAACACATCTCCAACGCAATTGACAAACAGTCCGCTACTCGATCCAGCACAAGAGAATTTCGCGTATCAACGCAACTCTCCGCAACTGCCCGAAACACCGTTACACCGAGCGAGCGTATAATTAAAAATCCCACTCACTTATCAGGAGATGACGGGGGAGTGAGCGCGACGGTGCTGAGCGCGGCAGCGTCGGCCGACGACGTATTCTCGTTGTTGGCCGTCGGCGGATTAAGGATATGCGTGGCGTTCGCAGAGTTCGTCGATGCGGCAGCGCTTCCCTGCGCCTCTGCTCCGGAACTCGCTCCAGGACTAGCAGATCTACTGGCGGCGCTGGCCGCCGCTGGCGCAGTCGCTGCGGATTGTTGCTGCAACGGAGGTTGCGGCTGGTTGCCACTCTCCTTGTCCTTGACAACGGCCTTGAGCTTGGCGGTACCCTTGACGACATCGGACAATCGATTCTGCGATGAAGACTCTATGCCGACAGCGCCGGCGCTGCCACCGCTGCCCGCGTCGCTCGACGCTTTGCCGTGGTCGGTGTCGAGGCCGGGCAGGGGTGGGAAAGCGGCTGCCTCAAGGTCAAACTGCACACCGCTACTGCGGCTGCTGCCACAGTTGCTGTTGCCGCCGCTGCCCCCGCTCGCCGGCAAGGATTCTTTAATCGCCGGCAGCGGATGGTTGTTCCCGGTCGCTACCTTCGTGTCCTGATCTTTGGTCCTGCGATGGATACGGTGGCGGGCAAACGAAGGAGCCGAGGAGGAGGATGTGGAGGAGGGCTCGACCGCCGTCGTCGTGTCCTGGTCCTGCGCGGAGGACAACGAGGAGGAAGCTCCCTTTACGTGCTCAACAGACGATACGGCGGACGACGAAGAATGGAACTTTGTGCCGGACTGGTAGGAAGAAGAGGACGAAGAGGCGGGCGGCTTCGAGGGAGGCAAACTCGAAGCGTGGTAGGTGGACGTAGAAGAGCCCAGTGACACGTTACTGTTGCCACCGCCGCCACCGCCGCCGGTCATAGGAGGATGTGAGCTACGATTACTCAGCGGCGGCATAGACGATGGCTGATGGTGGTGGTGGTGGTGATGGTGGTGATGGTGATGATGGTTGTTACTATTGTTGCTGGGATTGGCCGGGTCTATTAAGCAGCTTCTATCGGAGCCGTTTCTCTGTCTATTTCTGTACGCGTAGGGGGGAAAAAAAGGACACTTTCAGATACACCCAGACATTCGTTCGACCGACGTAATATCTAGAAAAGCTACTTGCAGATCCGTACCTATGCCGAGGATTGTATCTCGTATTCGAACGCGTGAACGTGTTGTGCGGCGTGATTCCGTTCATCGTAAAGACGTTGGACATCTCGAAGTAAGCGGGACTAGTTGGTCCCCAAGGCATCATACCGGCCGGATAAAAGGCCGGTTGCTGAGGGAACGGTGAAGAAACATTTTTAATTTATACGAACCACTCTCGCTCTCCCTGCGCAGGGCGCGATGTATTATTCAAAGTGGATGGAAAAGTTTGCGCGCCAAGAACTTGCGACTTGTGTATACTTACATAAACGACCTGATTCGCATACGCCGGAATAGTTGTCTGAGGCATGGTCGTGCCATTGGTATAGAGAGAAAAGCGTTGCTGTCCGGCCGTGTAACTGCTTGGATCGTAAACAGGAGGAGGGGGTGGAGTTCTGTAGCCGTTTTTTATACCACTTACACCGGCTACCGTTGGCATTGGTAGCCTGTTCATTGGTTTAGCTTTGATTCTCGCCATTATCGGCTTTCCCTGCAATTTAACAGTCGGAATAAAAATGACGCACTTGGAATCCACGCCTATCATTTGCAGCTGCAACGATAAATGTCCGATTACAGCTACAATAAAGACCAAATACGGCAGTAAACCCCGCGCGAATTGTCCAAATCGTCAACGTTTGCTTCGCATTACCGCGTTATCCGAACTCGGTGTTACGTAAGCCTCGACTACCACCACCTACCTGAAATTCTCGAACCTCTTCGCGTAGAAACCGGTAGGCCTTTTGAGCATCCTCGTCGGACTCGAATGTCACGTACCACGAGCTATTGTGAGCAAACTCGCACGAGATAAACCTCGGGCATCCCTCTCCAGAAAATAAATTCTACAAAGAAACAATCGGGACGTCAAGGACTCGGGCCTGGATAATCTTATCGCAGGCTGGACAAGCTGGGACAAACCTTGACGTCCTCCAGCGGAGTGTTATCTGGTATCTCACGAAGTATCACGATACATCGTTTGTGATTGGGCCTCACTTTCTGCCCCTCCTCGTCGACTTGAACATTGGGAGACTCCCTCAGCACCTCCGTTATGAGTTTAATATCCTTCGTCAGTTTCTTCACTTGGTTAAAATTCGCTACTGTCCATATCGGCACATACTGATCGTTATCCATTTGCGACAACAAATAGGTATCGTTGGCTAAATTCTCTCTGGAAAGATAAATTGTGCTGTTCATTCACACGCCGCGCATACTCTTATCGTCTATGTACGGGCTCGTGAAATTTGCATGTCAATTGCGTATTCCGTGACCCGATCAATGAAAAACTGTCATCCTTTTAAGCAAAAGCGGATAATTTTTGCATACACAAAGTAGTCGCGATCGCACATAGCATTGAGGTACATTAAGAGAATCAAGTTTTGCGTTTCCAGATACGAATTAACATTTTCTGGCGTTGTGCTACTTTTGCAAAGACTGGCACATTAACAATTTTCCTAAAATTTCCAGCTTCAAGTCGTACTCTTGATGTGCGACATGCGACTACTGAAATCCCACTGAATCCCTTCCTTGCGTCTGACTTTGTTGAAAGTTCAACCACCAGATGTACTATAATAGTATTTGGTAATACAGGTGATCAAAGGTTAATTTTCGACTATAGCAGTCAAGCCAGCCGTGCAAAGAAAATAACGAAAACTCTATGCAAAAGCGGTCAACTCGCAGTCAACGGATCCCCCAAGTTCGATTGCCAGTGACGCGCCCGCACGGCGCGTTCCCCGTCTACAAAGATGATCCGAGGGTGACTGTGAAAAAGCTGCGTGCTGCACAATTGCGGCACATTTCAGGAAAAATATAAATTTATAAGTAATCGATGCAAATGTATTGATGTATTCGCGTAATGATTTTGCAAGATGATTGCGCGCATTTCGCGCGGCCCCGGCGATTCGGGGGGGGGGGGGGGAGGCGCGCGGTTACCTGGAGAAATAGTACTCCAGCTGCGAAGAGAGCATTTGTTTAAGCTGCTCCAGCGGTATGCCGAGGACATTTAGATCCGTCATCGGTACAGACGGTGGTGCGGCAGAGGCGTCGCCCAACGCGGCGACATCCACTGGACTGTATCCGACGGCACCTCCGTGCATGCTTATAGCGTGTTGGGGCGACGGCTCCAGACTGCCGACGCCAGCGTCAAGAATCAGCTCGCTGCCGCTCGGCGCACCGTTCATGACTCCGTAGTCTATATTAGGCACACCACCACCAATTGCGCCCGCAACCTGTGGACCCAGAGGTTCAGGGGTGGCTGGGTAGACCGCCCCTGGTGGCAGCTTCCCGATGTCCCCATTCATGTAAACGTACCCTGCGAAGAGAGAAAGGCTTGTACACTCCCGCCCACGTGCCAAAGGTCCACGTACATGTACTCGACGATTGCTCATGATCTTCACAGACAAGCCCTCGGATGCAACTGGACATTTTGCCGAGCTACTCGGGATACAATCGGCACCGTCTGCCTCGCGGGTCGAGTCGCACTTGGACCCTAGAAGCGGCACAGCCGCAATTCTAACCTAATCCGCGCCAAGCTGTGCGTCCCGGTCACCGCATCGAACGCGACTCCTCGCAAGAGTAGGTCCGGTCGTTACATCATGTATAACTTTCCCGTACATTTGCGCTTGCGATTGGCTCGACGCTCAGACACGGCTCGGGTACAACCGCGAGGGACGGCGGAATTTCCCCAAGTATCTCCGTTCCAAGAATAGACAAAGTCATACTTCGGTCCGACAAAATATCCGTTGCATCACACAGAACAGTTCCCGATCCCTTTTCCACAGGACAATGACATATCTCTGTACGATACATATAATATAAAAAATATTTATATTATATATACACGCGTATACATATATCATAATCGGCTAGAGTTTTATTCGTGCTTAAGCTAGGATGCTCCATACAACATTGACAGCCCTCGTATCCTCGCAAACTATCGGTGACGACGACAACGGTGTCCCGCAGGAGGGAACAGAACGACGAGGAGGGACCGTTCGACCCGAGCCGCGTGTACGCGGCACTGTCCGACGAGGCCCCGCAGGGGGGGGGCACAGAACGTGGGGGAGCGGCACCGAGAGGAGCGACTTGACGGCGCGGCCGAGGAATCTCGGCGACGGGGGCCTCCGGCGAGCCTCGGCGACGGGGCGTCGGGCTGCGTGCCACGACGACGGCCGCCCGGGGAGGCTCGCGGCGCCCCAGGCGAGGATCCCCGCGCGGAAGGCCGCGCAATATGTTGCGGCGCGCGCGGCGCGTTATCGGCCAAATATAGCGCGGTCGTGGACACGGCACGACGGTGGCGGCGGCGGCGGCGGCTGCTGCGGCGAGCCGGACACGAGGACAACGTACGCGGACGTGATGACGGGGACGATGACGACGACAACGTGGAGGACGAAGGACGGGCGACGATAACGACGTGTCGACGTGCACGGCGCGAGTTTAGCATGCGGCGCGGAAAGACACACCAACATAAGGAGGTGGCGACGGTGTGGCGAGAAGGTGGATGAAGGCGGCGCGATGACAAGACTACACTCCCCGACACGAGCGCGTGTTACACCGACGAGGACGGAGATGATGATGACGACGGTGATGACGATGACGATGATGATGATGTTGCATGGTGGTTGCGTGGTTGGATGAATGGGATGGATGGTCGTTACCGAAATCACCGTTCATCTCGAGACGGGCCCGGATGATCCCATGTGCCCTGAATCTAGCGCTACGAGGTGCCTGCCCGTTCGCTCGCTCGCTCGTACGGTCGTTCGCTCACTCGCTCACTCGCCCGCTCGCGCTCTCTTTCTCTCTCTCTCTCTCTCTCTCTATCTCTCTCTACGTCCCGAACGGCCTCGTGCAGATCGGTTTCTCGACTAGAGAGAGCTCACGAAGCACTTTGGCTGCTCGCTCGCGGCCCGTCGTGCGCGCGGGGCGTCTCGTGCAGCGCGTTTTTGCGAATTCGCCCGTGCTGGCCTCGATGATCGACGTTGGGCCGACTAGGGCACGATCCGGGGCACCGATCGCTCTCGCCCGTTCGCCCGCCCGCTCGCGCTCTCGCCCGTCCGCTCGCTCGCTCGCTCGCACGCACGCAC